AATGGTTAATAAGAAAAGGGAAAAAAGGAAATTAGACCCTTTATTCTAGAGAGCATGCATTTATGCAAAGAGGATGTTTAGCTGGGGGTGAAGAGATGAGGACTTGGCCAGTTATGAACTTGTAGAATAATCATGGGAAAAATGATGAAGTGTTCATAGTGGTATAGTAATGACATACATAAAGCAAATGTGTTATGATTAGATCAAATTGCAAAGAGAAATGAGTAAATGTTGAGAACAATGTCGTGTTCAATGTGTAAACAACACATCTCTCTCCTTAGCTGAGGTTGGTATAAGCAAGCAAGAGTTAAAAATACAAGAGCAATTTTTAGAGGCAACCTCATGACTGGCAATCAGTGCTAATAAGATTCTTTCCTCTTGCAAGATTCACAGAAAGCCCTCAATCCATGCCGAGCACATTCAAAGGCAAGGGACTAAGCGCTCCCCTTACAGGTTCATTATCATTCGCAGGTTATCCCAAGCCAAGTGAATCAGGAAAGCAAATGAATTAGTGAGAATTAAGGAGCCTCTGTGGTCTGAACCCTCTCCAAATCTCAGCTAAGATGAAAGGTAGACGCTGATGTCTTGTGTCCCGGGGTTTTCAGAATTGGAGCCCCAGTGCCGAGCCGCTTCCTCCAGAGCCTTGCAGAAATGTGCAGGCAGTTAATGTTGCCTAACGTCTCCTGACCGTGGGTTCAGCCATGTGGGAAAAGTTTTACGAGGCTGCAAAAACCAAACCCCCTTTCACTCACAATTAATTACAGGAGAGCTGTTATAGCACCTCGCTGTCAATGAGTCCAGTGAAAGAGCACATTCCTCTCATCTCGCTCAGTAATAATCAAAGATACTCAGGTAATGTCTTAGTGCATAACAATATCAAATGGGGTAGTTAAAAGACACCTCTAAAGCACATTGAACCACTAGCAGTATTGTTTCATTGGAAGTGTTACCTTAAATGATAGGATTAGTACATGACATGAATTCATGATATGAATTGGGATCTCCAGTGTTTACCTTCCCTATTTTTGTTGGTCTGAAACGAAGCAGCACCTGACAATCTTTTAATTATGTAGTTGTTTTTAGTTGTTGTGATGCAGTGATCCTCTGAGGGAAGCTATGGCCTTAAAGTAGAATCGGTTGGAAAGATTTGAAAGGAAAGCAGTTTGTTTTCATTAAATACTTGTTACTGCTAATTATATTTGATCATTTTAAATAATACAGTTTAATTAAAGAAGCATGTCACCTAGAAAAAATATTTGTTTTCCAAAGGATAACAGTATATCTTTGCACTTGCAAGTAGGGGGTGGAAATATCAAGTGAAAAAAGGGCAGATGTATTTGATTGTGTCTGTGTGTGTTTGCATGTAGGTATAAACAAAACAGTATTGTTTTAGGGAGACTAGATGTTTGGTAGAAAATATAAATCTATTCAAAATAATTTTTCCAGTTCTGATAATGAAATTATATTTAAAGGGCTATATTGCATCATATCAGATTATATCTTTATGTGTGTTTCAAATTATTTAACATAAGTAATTATCCACAATAAAATGACATTTGTCAAATGACATTAACCAGTGTTTTTACAGCCTAGGTTTGTATCAATGTTCTCATCAGATATATTTCTCTGCCATGCTTTTTAATGCCATTTTCATAAATGTGAAGAGTTCACTATGAAATTACATGTTTGTCATAATAAATGTATGGATTTAATTTTATTTTTTTGCAAATGATACTTTTTCAAGGTTAGTTTAAAGGAAATTAATAGAAAATGAAGGCTAATAACTCTGCATGTAACTGAAGTCTTGAATTCATGTACCAATATACATAATTGTTCCTTTAAACAATCATGTTGGAAAATTTTCTAGTTTTTACTTCCCCTCTTCATATAATTCCTGACTCATGACCTCCTATCTACCAGTCAGGCTTGATGTGCATGACTGTATCTCATTTATAATAATCATGATCTTTACAGAGAGATCGATTAAAATATTATGGTTCTTTTAAAATCAGAATGCATATCAAACGAAGCCTCACTTATAAAATAGAGGAAAAACCCGGGCTTTTGCAGTCTCCTCCGTGTGAATAAGATGTTTTAGAAATCTCTTAATATTCAAAGACAGTTAATCATTAAAGAGGCAAATATGTTAATATGGTTTTATCACAATTGAAAATGCTGTTAGTGGTTCTATGGATTACACTGTTCTATATACACTACATTTAACACAGTTAGCAAAATGGGTCCTGAAACTCAAAAATCACCCCCTTTAAAATAATATATAGTTTAAATAAAAGGTTAAATAATTTAAAGAATTGTTTTCTTTGTGGTATGCACTCTTGTTTGTATAAAAAGTATTTTAGAATATTTTAATCTTTTCCCTTTTTGTTTTCACATACAATTGCTGAATGGAAAAAACCCAACATTATTTAAACTGAGGTTGAAAATATCTAGAGGCTTCAACAGTGGACAATTTTTTTTCCTTGTAGTTATAATTAAATCTCTTTTTTTTGGGGGGGGGGGATCTTGGGGGAAGGAGGAGGAGGACAGTGTTACTAATCCCGACCGCTATATTGCTTGCAAAGAAAATGCTCTAAGACTTAAAGGAAAGATAAAGGTGAACTGCAGGATAGTGTTAAAATTCAACAAATCTCATTCTTAATTCCTTAACACTGCAATGCTGATCATTTCCTTGTATCTTTTTTATTTTCACCAAGATTTGTGGATTTGTGCTTGGAATTTGAACATTTTTCTGATTTTTAAATTAGATGAAAGAAACATTTCAATTTATATAATTCTACCCACTCTCTTCCTAACCGCTGTATCACAAGAGGATTTTATTAATTGCATTTTTTAATGCTGCTCTTGTTTTTAATCAGGTTCCTCTAGGTTAGCTTCTGTATCACATTTAGCAAATTCTATTTATGTTATCCAAAGAATTAAAGATAGCAGAATGCAGGTAAAATAATTTTCAAGAAGGCTTGAGCATAGGACAGAAAAAAAACCCCAAACCAAAACAAAAAACAATTAGAACAATCTCCCAGCCAGTATCAGCCTAGAAAGAAGCAAAGCACACACAATACCCTCAAGTGTGTGTGTGTGTGTGTGTGTGTGTGGGAAGGGCCTCATAACACCAATATTATTTAAAATGGTGTGGATCTGCGGCAGCCTGCAGCAACAGCAGCTCCAGCCGGTGCTGCGCCAGCGAGGCAGCGGGCCCTGCCCTTGCGCTGGCCACAAATGACCAGTGAAATCCCAGAGGCACTCTTGAATTTCTGCATTCTCATTTCATCAGCTGCAAAATATCTGTCACTCATGTCCCATACTGGGCAAAGTGACACCTGCCAGTCTCAAGAACAAGGACAAATTAATGTTCCTCCACCAACTGTGTCTCAGAAACGAGTGGCGAGCGGCAGCGCGAGCAATCAACAGCTCGAGTACATTGTTAAAGTTTGCAATGCATTGCTGGGGGTTCCTTTCAGACAAGGTAATTTGCAGCAGCTGTTGTCGGTTTGTGCTGTTATTGAACACATGTTCTGCCGATTTCCTTCCTAATGAATCTTTTAAAAATATTTGCAAAATACGTGTAAAATTGCATTGCTGAGGTTTCATGAAGCTGCAAAACAAGGCGGCTCATTTTAAACAATGCTTGGGAGAGACGGTGCAGCAGCTGCCAGGCAAACACGTAAGTCAGACACTCACCTTGCCCCCTCCATCTTCCTAGAAATCACTCTGAAATATTTTGGATAGTAGGTATAAAATCCCCAAAAAACCCAAAACAACAAAAAACATTTCTGATGTCTGTCATCATGTCACATCATGTTATGTGATATTATATCTGCTTGTGATGAGATGCAACGTGACAGGATGTAATGCAATGTAACATATAAAAAAATGTAAATAATCCACTTTTGGGGATTAGATATCTGCTGTCAATTCCTATAGCAGGAACCTGAACTGAATTTATTGAGGCGGATAGGAGCTCAGCAAACACCAAACTGTGCAGTGGTGTTTGCAAACCAGCACACATCACAGTTCACTGCCTCTCCCAATTGCTTTTGGGTAGTTTGGCTCTTATATGACTGTATTACGATGTTAAATAGAAGTTCTTGTGGTGTACAGTCTTGTGACTCAATAATTCTGTTAATTATCACTGCCTACAGCAATCACTCCAATGATGACTTGCCATGAATAGCTGTTTGTATATTTTCTAATATACTTGTTGGAAGTAGCTGTGGTGTTTTTCACAGCAAAACACACAGTGTGAACAGAAAATCATGTAGTAAATAGGACATAACTGGGGAGAAAAAACAGTGCTTTGGGCCAAATAAGAGACTGCTCAGGACAGCGTAACCTCCCGAGGTCTCCCTGAGGCTGGAGACCTTCCTTCCTTTGTTGGCACAGCTGTATTTCTCTGTAAGTTACTGATCAAAAAGCACCTACATTTTAGGATTGGACATGCTCTGCACCCTTTCATCACTGTGGCAGTTCACCAGTGCTGTCTGCCAGCTCTGGAGGAGCGGGCTTGGGCACAGAGCAGGGCAGACTTTGCCCATGGGTGTCTGAGGAGCCAGAGGGCTGTGCCATGGAGAGTGGGCATTTGAAATGTCGGTGAATGTAGCCTGAATGCTCTGGGGTGTTCTGTAACAGTGGGGAGATGGCTTTTGAAGTATTGCATAGGTCACTGATGATTTGGGGAAATTAGAAGATCTAGATTTGCCTTCACATGGCCATGGGTAGGGAAAAGGGCTTATCACCAGCAGTGGGAGGAATGCAGAGGGGAGCACCCCAGTCCCCTGACTTTCTCCCAGCATAGCCAGGGTCTCTCTCTGCCTCTGCCCCTGCCTTCCTACTGACTCACTGTGGCAGCTGATTCCAGCCCATAATTCCAGCCCCTATTTGTGTGTCCAGTGCCTGGGAAAAAAAATACAAGCCATTGTATTTCATCAGTAATTAAGTGCTAATGGATGTCTTAGAGCATGCTTTTAATTTTCTTTCAACAGAAGACAAAATGCCATGTTGTCTGAAGCTTCAACTGCACCACAGGCACTCTGCAAAAATATCTTCTTACAGCTACAAGGGCTTCACCCCCACTATATTTGACTGTGTTGGGAGCTCGAGCACAGGTGAGTGGACAGCATTTTAAGTGCTGTGTTTATTCAATGTTCTCTAACCAGGGCTAGATAATATGATATTTACAAAGCCCCATTCTCTGCACCCTCGAAGGTTGCCCACCTTGGCAGCATTGATGCCATTGAACTGGTATTAGCAGCAGGGAGGGGTGGCTGTAAATTTTGCCTCATGCAGACAAGGCTTACAAGGTAAGCAGGCGGACCCCCAGCTGCAACTGTGTGCCTGGGAATGGAACCCTTTTTTTGCTGTCATAGTGATGACTTTTAATTGTCCCAATAAACAAGCTTTTAAAAAGCTTCTAAAATGTTCTCTAATAACACACTTTGGTCTTTAGCCATAGAAATGCAGAAATAATTAGAAGTGCCATTGTGTACAGTGCCTTCTGGACTGGGCTGAAGGTGAAGGAGAAAGTATCATGCTATCCTTGTCAGCTGCAAGGGTAATTACTGCTGGCTGAAATTACTCAACATTTGTTTATAAGCTCCCCAGAGCATGCTGTAAATAGATTGTCTGTTATAGTCCAATCACATTAAAACGCTGCTCCTTGCAAACTGCTACCTCCTGTTTTCTGTAAGCTAGACAGAGAAAGCCTGCTGCTCACTTATTGAGCACCAAGCACTGAAGAGCTATGTTTAATGTGATTGTTTTCATTAGCTCTTCTCCGTCTGATATTACATTTATAGTTTGCTGGGCTTGAAGACTGGCATGTTGCATTGCTTTAATTTACTGTAGTAAGACTGAATAGCTTTATTTCTGGAAGCTGTATGCAACAGTTGATGGGAATTTTGGAATAGCAAAAGCGTAGGAATATCTACAGGCAACTTGTTCTCCTCTTGGGCAATGGTGTTTTTCTCTTTGCCTTCTAAATGCTCCTGCACTGGTTCCAGCAGTGGCCGCATTGCCTAAATTGTCCTTTAAAGGATGAGGAACATTTTCATAAAAGGTTAGAAAGAATGTATTTTCCTTAGCACTGAATTTCACGCTACAGCATTGTCCTGTCCATTATGACCTGAGTTGTATGAAATAGTGATGCAGCCACAGCCTGTCTGTTTGATTTGCTCTCAGCGTGATTTACCACATCATATCACAGCAGCTCAGGTATTTCCAATAAATATGGGGACAAATTCATCGCTGACATATGCAGAGAAAATTCCAGTGCTATCGATAGAGTTGCATTTGCTCCCACCAAGGTGAATTTGGCCACTAAACTGAAGATTTAGGGGAAAGAAAGAGAATTTTGTAGAAAACCCTAAATCGCAACACAAAACAACCCAACACATAAAAAAAATTCCAAAGACCTTCTATCTCCATGTATTGCAAAAAAAAAAAAAGGCAGTACATAACCAATACTGGGTATCAGAGGCAGAAATTTGTAACCCCTGTTTCATGAGTAATTCATGAGAACACACACAAAGGGTATTTCAACAGCACTCAATTTATTTACCACTGATTATTCCCCAAAATCAGTACTGATTATATATAGAGCAAAGTGTGGACTCGTCATGTCACATTTATTTGAAAAGGTTAGTAACAACATGCTGCCTTGCATACCTCCACAGCTGAAAAAAAATCTAGACATTACTGAATTTAACCTGATTTTCTTAAAATGCAGGCACTTCACTGGTGTAAATCCTCATGGAAGACATTGCAGCTATGACAACTTACACCAGCACCTGAGCTTCCCTGGAAATAACACAACAAAGCAGCAATGTTAGTGACCAGTAGAGAATTATTAAAGGAACACAGATAATTGGAAGAAAATAAATGACCTGGGTAGAAGAGCTACTATAAAATGAAGTGCAGGTAAATCACTATACTGGACACCTTCCAGCCTCATGTCCTAGGTGCCTTTCTCCCTAATTTTAACATCTGCTTAAAGCTTCTGTTCTCCGCAAACCAGTCAGAAAGGGAAAAGAATTGAAGTTTGGAAATTCACATTTGTTTCTAACTGGAATCATTGCCTGTGGAAAACTGTCCTTCTGGGAAAGATGCTGGAGTGCTAGAAATGATGATTCAATTGCCCATTAAGATAATTCCAGGAAGTACTACTTTCTTGAGGCTGTATTTCCAGGAATGGCAATCATGGCATCACTGCTCTGACAGTGCTTTAGGTATCTCCAGAAGTGGACACAGCAGGTGAATATTTCCAGTTACTACAAGTAATACACTACAGGTTAGATCCTCTGGTTATCTTTATTTGCAAAAGCTGGCTGGTGCAGCATATTGCAGTCCTTTGATGATGAACTATACCAATTGTTTTGCAATAAGTGGAAGCTTCTTTGCAATCCAGGTAACATTTTTTTATGTTCCTATTCCTGCTTTTTCGTGCTATTAGAGAAGCAGTGAATCTTTAAAGAGAAACTTCCTACAGCTAAAAAAGACATTAAGGGGGAAAAAAGCTGGGAGCCATAGTGACAGGTACAACTAAGGCTGTATCCTTCGGTTCCCTGGAAACCAGTCAAACACTATCTCATCTTGCAATGGTTGTGTCTGATCCTCTGCTTCAGACATCTTCCTAATAATGGCAACTACAGAGGTGACTCTCTGCAAATAAGGGCTTACAGCAACTGGACATCCATCATATATCTCCAGAGCAACATTAGACCACCCTAATGGGTACTCCCGTCTTCATTATGATATTAATTCTCTAAATTTCCAAAGTGATTTCATTTGTAAAATGACAAAGGCTGGCTGCTCAGGAGACAAAGTGTTTTCATCCCCCTCCTGCATGCTTACAAAGGCTTGCTCTCTTTAGTCTTTGGGGGAAAAGAAATTTGATAGCATTAGATCTCTTGTGATACACAAGGCTGCCTAACAGCTACACCACCTGCCAGCACCGCATGCCTGCCCATCCAGCCTGAAGATTCTAAAGCAATGGTTGATGAGTAGAACATAGAAATTGGGGGGGGTGGGGGTGGGGGGGCAGCGGGGGGCTGGTAGAAGCATTGCAGGGAGAAAATAGAAGCTGTATAAAATACTCAGTGTGAAAGTGAGGCAGGATTGAGGGTAAGGGTGAGGTCAGAGCCAAGGCTGGAAACTGAATCAATCTGACCAAGGTTGGTTTGGTTAGATTAGGTAAAAGCATGATTTTCTCCCTGGTGTATCAGAGCCTTTGCTGTGGCTACAAATTCACTGACAGCCAACCAAAGTAAGCTTTTCACAAAGAGACAATTTTTGCATAGCTCCTGATCTCCAAACTTTTGAGGATTAAATAAAATAGAGTGGAATTAAAAAGAAAATCAGTAAACCTGTCCCCTCACTAAATGTTTTGCCCCACATAGTGACTAACTGAAGTGCCTGACTGAATAATAGTGAGAAATTAGGAAGGCAGTGATGGTTGTAACCTGACTTGTGAATGAGTCTGGAAGCAAAACAAAACAGTATTTTAATGCACTGAAAAGTGTACAAGACACCAGTCTCACTAGGCTTTAGGCTGCTTTAAGAAAGTAGACAATCCTTTAATTGGTCTGTTTCATATTTCCTCTCATTTACACTCCTGCCCCCGTGTCTGTCCGCTGCCGAGCTTGCGGAGGCAGCATCGTGAGAGACTCCAAGGAGTCCAGCTCCTCTTCCCAGCAAACACTGCCTTCAGCAAGCTGCTGATTTTAGTACTCCACCTACAATTTCATTCCTTGTCCATGCTCCAATGCTGGATTTCTATTGTACCAGCTACTACTACACCCCCTTTAGTGATGAATCTCGGTAATCAGGATCAGCACTTGGTACTGGTGTAGCTGCACGCCCTCAGTCTTGGTGCATCCTGTATCCCAGGTGTCCTTCAGCTGGCAGGAAGAGAGCAGAGAGCCTGTTGGGGACTGCAGCCCATGGCCGGCCACCTCCCCACATGTCACCAACACTCACTCCCCAGCCATGTGGGGCAGCTCTTGGGGTGACTGTGCTGGGCAGTGTGACACAGAGTGGCATGTGGCTCTGCATCCCACCACTGCCTTTCATCACGTGTTTACTGCAAATGGAAATTTTCATTAAATTTTATGATTGTATAAAAGTGTTTCCATCTCACAAATTTGGAAATGTCACTGTAAAATCTTGTTTAAAACTAAATTAATTAACAACAATAAAAACATTGAAGAGGATGACTTTTTTTTTCTCCCCATAGGAAGCCTTCATGTTTAGTCTAGAGTAAAGCTCTTTTTTTTTTCCATTTCTCTTTCTTTCTGACCCAATAAATCTTGCATTCTTTGCTGAACAGCCATGCAGCTTCAGCAGGAAGCAGACTGCCCCCCTCTTTTCCCTTCTTTGCCCTCATTCCCCAAATCTCCAGCAATTGTGGCTTAACTTGGTTGTCAGAGCCTAGGCTGGAGCTGTAGATTTGAACCCCCTCATACTGAGGAGGTCACTGAACCGTAGTCAGCTCACCAGTTTCTGGGTGAGTGCTTTAACCACTGCTATAAAAGATGAGCAGCAGCATCACCACCATCCATCTTTAAAAATAAAGAGTAATCCAGTTGTCCAGCCCTCAAGGAACAAAGCTCCTATGAGTCAGAGGGTTTTGCTGAATGTGAATGAGGGTTACATCTTAATGCTTAACTGGAGGCTCTGTGTGCACTGGTTAGTTCTAAAGGAAATATGATTTTGGATTATTAGCCTCTCTTTATAACTCCCTAGAAGATTTGTACATCACCTCAACTCCACATACTATTTGATAAAAATCCTTGTTTCCAGTAGTAAGAATGTACCACAAAAGAAATCTGGATTTTCAACTTGAGTGTCTAAATTTTCCTCAGAAATCACATCTTTCAATGTATTGTTTTAGACATCAGGGCTGAATTTTAATGCTCTAATGATCCTGCCAGATGATGACTGTGTTTTTTCTGTGTCATCTTTTATAGGCATGGGACATAGAGATGCTCAGAACCTCCTGGAAATATGCTACTTTCCACAGCTTCATTTTTCTGCACTTCCAGTGTTCAGCATAAAATCATGATGGTCTGAGGTGGGTTGGCAGCTGTCCCTATCAGTTATTTATGTTTTTTTTTTTTTTAATTTTGCATTCCATGGAGTAAAATTCAAACATGCTGTAAGAAACTCTACAGTGATTGCTTATCTCAGGGATAAACTTGTCTCCATGTTACATGCTTATGATGTTATTGAAGGCCCTTTGGCCCCCAAATTAAATTATTAATGGAAAATTCTTTGTCATTTGTTTCTCAATGTCACATGAATGTAAAAGTATTTTTCAGTGCTGCTTCATGGAGAAGACATTCTGCTTTTGCATTTAACTACACTTTTTCTGAAAGAGGTTCTAAGCTACTATTCCTTTCCATCTTTAACTAAATACTGTAGTTCCCTCTCTAAGATTAATCCATTGCAGCTGCTAGTAATGAAGGCTCTGCTAACACCCCAAAGTCTTGCCTCTTTTTTCTTGCAAAAATCATAGGCTAATATTTGGAGGCTTGTGCCAGTCTCATGTAAGTTAACAAGTATAAATCCACTCTGGCGTCATATGGTTTCTGTCTTCCATGGCTGCCTTCCAAAAGCTTGAAACTCCAACCTAATGTGTCACTTCAGTACGGACAACATACTGAACAATTTGTTAAGGGAAACAACATCCCATTTCCTAAGCATTTTGGATGCTCTCTGTTAATCTAATGCAGACCTGGAGTAATCATACTGTGTGTAGGATCTTTACTATGGAAAGAATTTTTCCAAGGGTGGCTGTAAGAGCTACAGTATTTTGGGTGGGTGGTCTGTGCTCAGGAACAAGAGCAGAATTGCTTTGCTGTGGTTCAGTGGGTGAAAGCCGCTGTGAAAGGTGGCTCACCACCTCATTTGTGGTGAGGAAAGCCCAGACCCTCCAGATAAGGAGTGTTGTGGCATAGAGAGTTTTCTGTTAATTGCTTATGTCCTTTCTGCTCTCATGTTGGGGGACAGCAGAGCTATGACCACTTGATATGGTCCACGCTGACAGTTTTGCATGGAAGGGTTGAATGGATTTTTTCTCTTTACATGCCTGGGGGAAGTGAAAAGCTGGTGCAAATGATGTTTGGTTTTTTCCAGGCTCAGATTCATAAAGACAAAGATGTGGCTGGAAGCCACTTTTATTTGCTCTCTCCACCCAGACTGTACTTTTATTGCTGAGCCTCTGGAAGGCACAATGCAGCACCTGAGTGGTTCCCTGCTCTCAGATGCCTCTCAAGGAGAAAACAAGTTGTTTGCCATTTTCTTCCCTTGTCAGATCAAGCCAATACACATACTCAATATACCTATCTTGAGAAGTTTTCTTTATTGATGACTCTCACTTTCTCTGCAAACAATATATTTTCTGCTGTACCCGTCCAGGTAAATAGGGTTCACTCTGGAAATAGAAGGAGCAGAACCATATGGGAGAGCATAAAAATGAACTGACCTGAACTACAGTTCTGAAAACACTGTAAATTGTTTCCATTCCTTGACAAAGTGTTCACACTGTGTAGGAGCACCTTTGTTGCTGTGACTTGTCTTCTAATTGTCTGGCACCTTCCAGGGAATAGCTCTCCTTGTTTGCTAAATTATGACACAGGGACATGATTTGCCAGCTTGATCTGGTCTTTTCTGCATTGACAAGACTTTTTCATTGCATTCCCATAGAATCCAATACATGAAAAGCTCAAAATTTGCTCAACTTTTTAAAATATTTATACAACATCTGTTTTTAGTGGTAGTGGAGAGATGCCCCAGATTCGTTGGACTCTACATATATGTTGCTTGTTTTATACAAACTGTTTCAGGGATTCATGGTGTGGAGTTTTCTGCACCAACTTATGTTTGCCCAGGGAGCTCTGAAGTGATTTGGCACCCCTTCCATGCACATGTATTTTAAGAAGTCACAAGTCTATTGCATACACAATAGCTATGTAGTATTAATATTATACACCCATATGATAAATCTCTTCAGCACTGCTCTTTCAGAACATTGTCATTCAGGAGCATAGGTACACTCAGAAAAATTCTATTAGCATAGATAATTTACCATGAAAAATAGTGGTCCCACATAAAAAAGAAGTGTGTAGAGTACAAATATATTGCAAGTTTGTTGCTCTCATCTTGTGTTTTTATTACTCTGTAGAAAATATTTGTTTTTTGCTATTTGGAATGATAATAACAGGAATTATGTCTCCTTCACTAAGCAAGCTTTTTTAATATAAATAGGATTTGTATATGCTAATTAATAATGCATTGTATCTACACTGACTACTGGATACTGTAACCCTTAAAAGGAAAGGATGCACATAGGCTGGTCACTTCAAATCCAAGCTTGTCAGGTATTCTCTGTGCACCAGGGTAATGCTGCCTTTTGAAGAACGTGTCTTCATTATGCAGTTCAAGATGGCCAACACCCAGGCCTGATATTCTGCTCCTGACCTTGTAAAAATCATTTGCTGTTCTGAAAGCAGGAACACCTCATGATAAAACCATATTAGGTGATAATGACATTTTGCCAGATTGTGCTGAGAATTGCTCTGAGAGGGAGGAAGACGTTTCCATTGATTGTTCATCAATCTTCAGATTGTCTTCAAATGATAAACAGCTCAGGATTTCAGCCCTGCATATCCGTGGTGTGAGCAAACCCCAGAACCATGGGAGAGTGGGGGGATGTGGCAAGGCAGAAAGGGTGAGCCCCAGCCCTGCAGAGCCACACTCAGCCGGGCAGGTAGAGGACAGAGGGCAGCCTTCAGCTTTGTGTCCCGAGGAGCAGCATTGTCAGTGTTTGGCTCTGCAGAGCCATTTGTGCTGGTTTCCAGTGCAGGAAGACGAGGTTGATAGTGATACTATTTACAATTCATTATGACAAGATTGCAGAAGATTGTTGAAGACAGGAACCACTGACCTCCCATTTCTCTTTCATCTGTAGGAGTACATTCATAAATGATAGCCCACTTTAAGGACACTGGAGTGGAGAATTATACTGGGCTGCTTCTACAATCTTCTTTACCTTTTGGGTTAGCAACATCACTAATTGGCACTTGACAGCACTTCCAGATACTCCTTGTGAATCTCATAGTGTGACTGATGGTTGATTACATAAAGAGAAGAATTGTCTGTTCCATTTTAGTCTGTCAAAAACTAGATGCTGCATAGCATGTACCACATCTGGCAATTGATAGCACCATGTTTGTTAAGGTTATCTGATTGGAAGAGCTGCAAGCAATGAATAAGCCAGCAAAGCTGCATGTGATAACCTCCCCACAGGGAAGCTGCATGGCCTGACAGCTTCATGCTTGCCATTTCAGTATTCTGCATTTTTAAAGTGCAATAGGGAGCTAAAGAAATGCTCCCTCTTTTCTGAATGCACTTGCAGAAAAAGACAGCCTTTAATGTGCTTAACAGATCCTTTTTTTATACTGCTGAATTTTTCAAAACAATTTTTCACATGCTAAAACAGTAGGAATTATTTTGATGCCTGAAAGCATTTGAGGGACTAATTCATCTTGCAGTAGAACTGCTGCAACTTTTCTCTTGATGATTAAAGAAGAATAATTGAAGTTTCATACCCTTTGTTATTACATTTCTAAACCATAGCTCTTTCTATATATTTTATAAACCAATCTTTTCAAATGCTTGTTCAATACAGGAGAGTTAGTAATCATAATTTTCTAGTTTTCTCAAGATATGTAGGCTGGTATATCCAAAGAAGAAATTGCTATCAGCCCTAATGAATAAAAACTCTTTCTGTGTGCTTAGTAATGTGCACCTTCTTTGGCTCATTTTACCTGGTTTCCTCTGGTGAGGACATCATGCTAGCTAACAGCATCTTCAACAGAAAACAAAAAGCTGTACTAGTGCATGCAGTGGACTGGATAGCTCTGACCTGCCATTGAGTGATGGATGTTCTCACAGCAGCTGGGGAAAACAGCATAACAGAGAGAAATATTAGTGTTGCATTGCATATTTTTGGGCAATATTGGCTTTGAATCTCAAATGCCCTAACACTTGCATGCATTTCAGCACCAGGTCCCTACGAGTGCATTACATAAATCTGAATTCTGGGCAGCGCAATGCAGACTTGCAAACCCCTTCTTTTCTGAACTCTATTATTTATAAGATTAAAACCCCCGAGGTTTCAAATGGCAGGTTTATTGTCAAGTACAATGTACTTTTCATTCTGAATGGACAGAAGCCTTTGAGCTTACCTGAGTCTGCCTGGCTGTCCTCAGTTGCTGCTGTGTGTATTAGTGGAGGCCAGTCTTTTCTCCAGGGCTGTGAGACAGGCATCCCGTAGGGCCCTCCTCCCCAACCACTGATACATGGAGGAGAACTCTTCCTTTGCAAGCACTGGGTGCATGGCCTCCATCCAGAGCTGCCTCAGATTTAGAAGCACTCAGAAAATGTAGAAAACAGATGCTCACTTGGTTCAGGTTCTGAATTTCTTCGCATTACACTCAAAAACACATGCTGAACCTCATAGATGTGTTCATTCTTAACAGCCATTCAGTGAATATGGCATGGCCACATAGTATTTGCTTTGTGGTTTTCCATTGTTTGATATTCAAAGGATGTGGTGAGTCTTTAATGTCATAAATAGAAAAAGAATATAAAAGGTGGATTTCAGAAAGGCTTTTAAAATCTTACTGGTGTAGATCTCACAGCTCCTCATGCAAGTAGAGTTCCAGATTTCCCAGTAAAATAAACATTTAGACTGGGGTCAGGTATAATCAGAAGTTAAGGTTTTATAACTTTTTAAATAGAGAAGGCACCAGAGGCTCCTAGGATGGCCATTAATAATCGTATTATGAGGCATTTCATCTGGGGCATTTTAAAGAACTATAGTTGGTTTTCCAAAGTGTCAAATGTCTTTCAGATGTGCTGGTGTTAATGAAACAAATTCATCAATCTTTACGGTGGAAGGTTTTTACAGCTGCTTGCCATTGCTACATATGCACATAAAAATCTCCTCTCTTCTTCTCAAATCACAGGCAAGGGAAAAAAAGAAATATTTTTTTTTTAGCTAAAAAC